TTTCTGACATTTCTGAGGTCAGTTTACACGATGCCAACTGTGGTTTTTATGCTTTTGCTTCTTGGGCGGTAAGTATTGCAACACCACAGAAGAAAGTTTCCAGAAAGCTTCTGGCTAGTATGTAATGAAGAATCAAAATACATTTCTGCTTCTGTTCTTCTTTGCTTTTTTAAAACAACAACAGCACCCATTCTACAGAAATAACTATAGACTGTCGATTCATAAAGCACCCAAATACGTCATCCACCCAACAGAGGCAGTCGACATTGTTACAGTTTAAGAAACATTGCAGTGCATTTCAGATTTTCAATTTTAGTTCAACAGGATCCTTTAGACACGATGCATTTATTGTATTTACATTTTTGTTAGATTTTTGTTTCTAAAGACAGTTTTTTCACAGTAGCAATACAAGTTTGTGGGTTGCTTCTCTTTCCCCCAAAAAATGTTACTTGCACAAGTTTTTATCCCACCTGTCTTCCAAGGAGCTCAGGATGCTGTACATCATTCTCCTCTAACAAATCTTTAAAAACAGCCCTGTAAAGTAGGCACAGATGACAGTGAATGTCTCAAAGATTCCTGATACTTCCTCTCTCATTCTTATTACTCCAGACTCATACCTGACTCCCTCAGCGGACTGGCACTGGGTACCGCAAGGAGAGCATCGTCTTCTTTAAGAAGCTGGTGATAGCTTATTCTGGGCTCCCTCCCTCACACAAGTGAGATTAACTACAGTTGAAATTTGGCCATAGTGGTACCCATTCTGGAAATCAGTCCAGAAAAAGCTGCCAAGAAAAGGCTTCCTTATGGAAGATGTAGACGAGCATTTTTCCAGCTAGTAAGGTTACATTTTAAGATTACAATGTTCTGCCTTTTAGAAGGGTTTTCACACTCCAAATGGTTTCTAAAGGACAAAAAGAAACTTGCACCCTTGAGTGTTTTAGCCACACCTCTTTTACTGTTTCACCCCAATAGGGGCTGAAAGGGGCTTACATCATTCTCCTTTCCTCCATTTTATCCTTACAACTCTGTAAGGTAGGTTAGGATCAATGTTCCCTATAAGCTATGGAGTCCTGTGAGCAAAAATTCTACTTTGTGAGCTACTGGCATTAAAGTTGTGAGCAGGTGATTTGGCTACCGCATAAATTAGTTTGCTCTGGAGCCATCCTTCCTGAGCTAAGGCAAAAATGTGTGAGCCAGAGGCTAAAAAACTGTGAGTTGGCTCACACTAACTCAGCTTAGAGAGAACACTGGGTAGGATCAGGATGTGTGGCTGGAGAAGGTCACCTAGCAAGCTTCCATGGCAGAGTGAGGATTCGGACCTGGCTCTCCGTGGTCCTAAATTGACACTGTAACCAATCACCCCATGCTGGCTCTCTTCATTGTACCTTTCATCACTATTTGTGATCCTCACTTCATGGGCGGAAGAGTTCAGGCAGGGAGATTTGAGTCCCCACTGAGGTTAAAAATGATTTAGGCTTACTTGCGTGAGGGAGGGAGAGGAAGCAGTCTTCCCACTCACTCACCAAATGGGTAGCTTCAATCCCTCGGGATTGTGCTGGTAGCTGAGCCTAGTTCAGATTAGGAGTTAAGAACATCCATGACTCATCTTCCTGCCTCTGTGAAGAGCGAAGGCAAAAGCTACTACCGTTCAGCAAAGTCAGGGAGTTCTTAGAACATTTAAATAGCAATTCACAGTCAGCATCAAAGTGGTGGTCAGAGTTGTTGTTGTTAGTCGTGTCTGACTCTTGGTGATTCTATGGGCCAGCCACCAAAACAATTGCTCTAGCAAGCATCTTCTCTTTAGACCCCGATTGTTCAGCAGATTTTATGGATCCCCAAGGAGCCTGTTCTCTTCAAACATGCTGGAAGAGATCACTGGAGCAACTTTACCTGAGGCTCCAACTAGCCAAATGATAGGTGCCCAGAGCATTACCCATGCTCTATCCTTCCTTCCATCCTTCCTCCCCATCTATTCGCGTTCTTTCTCTTTCTCCCTCCCCCATGTATTTGCTTTTTCTCTCTTTTTTTTCCCTTTCTTTTTCTTTCTCCCCCCCTCCCCACATCTATTTGCTTTGTTTCTCTCTCTCCACCTCTCTTAAATAAATATCATTAGCAAACAAATATTATTGGGCAAATAAATATCATTATCAATATCTGTTTTTACCCCTTTTCTTTTTGGCAGTCTCATTTAATGTTAATAAAAAGCAAATTTGCATATTTTCCAATAAAAACATGTAACATTTGTTCACACCTTGTGGCTCTCAAACATCTGACGTTTATTTTATGTGGCTCTTACGCTAAGCAAATTTGGCCACCCCGGCTCTGTCATGACCGCCAGCTGCCTCAACCAACCCGACCAATGCTCAGTGGAGTACCAAGAGACTGGTCCTGGCCCACATCGATAAGTATGGACTAATCTGAACTTTGGAAGTTCATATATGAGGCTGAACATATAGGCACCTATTTAAAAAATCACATTGTTGATTTTTGACATGCTATTTGATGGGTACTGGAGATTTATTTATTTATATTCTTTTCTCACTGGGGACCCAAAGGGCAAGGTGCCTTTGGAATTGGGACAGTTTCAAAAGCAGACTCTGACAAGACATATAGGTCTGCTGCTCAGAGTGAAAAAATCCCATCAGGTGTTTACTTCTGCTCAAGTCATCCAAAAAGTCTCTAAGGTTCCTAGTCACAGCACTGGCAAACTAGTGATATGAAAAAAGTAAAGTGATTTTAATTCTTTTCAGCAAAGGAAAACTTCCTAAATATGAACTGCAAACTGCTAGTCACTCATTAAAATAACATGCAAATTTCATGGCCTTAGAACCAGCACTCTCTGGGCTGTGACGACTTTGCAGCATGGTTCTTTCCACTGGACATGCTATATCAATGTGCAAGCATAGTGTAAGTAGTTCACAACAGTGCCTCTGCATTGCCCAGTTTACAGTATGCACCAATCACAATTGTCCACTCCCATTTCAAGCCACCTTTCTTTTTTTTGTTTGCTCACTGCTTGGAAGCAGGACCAACCCCCACACAGCAAGCAAAGACTGATGGATTTCCTAAATCAAATAGTAAGCCAAGGGGTCTATCAGATACCATATTGCACTGTGCATTTGTCTACTAGTCAGGCTCTTCCCAGTAAGCCAGGTGAAGCAACAGCTGAGGCCCTGACCTGCCCAGCACAATCTCATCAGATCTCAGAAGCTAAGCAGGGACAAGTCTGGTTAGTATTTGGATGGAATATCATCAAGGAAGTCCAGCACTGCTATGCAGAGGCAGACAATAGCAAACTACCTCTGAATGTTTCTTGCCTTGAAAACCCTACATGGTTGCTGTAAATCATTTGTGACTTGACAGCATAAAAAACCAAGTTTCTAGAGAAGAAGCAAATATATGAGTAGATGTTGAGCTGTACACAAGCACTATTTCTGTGATTTGCTTTTAGCATTTTGCTTCTAGTACGTAAAAAGCTACCCACAGGTATTAAGTGAGAGGGTTATAGTTTAATCACCTCATTGTTTTTGAGCTGCAGTGCAGTATCTGCTTATTCCATCATCCTCTACCAGTGCCTTAATGCAGATTACCATTATCAAAATATTTTCGACTTCTTCAATTACTACACATAGGCCTACAGCAGTTGTGTGGGACTTCTACCTGGGTACAAGTTTAAAAGTTTACAGCAGTAGGTCCTGCACTCTACCTGAAAAGCAGAACTACAAGAATCAATGTATCATCACATTTGGGGGGTCTCAGTGTCCACCAGTTTGACCAACAACTCAGATGAGCTACATGCGTAACAATGTGATCTATTTGCTTTGTAATGTTCTATGAAGTCAGAGTGCCCTAACCAAGCGTGCCGAAGGGCAGCATCTCTTATACCTTAAAACACTTCATTTTAGCTGATGACAGAACAGACTTCAGCTGGGATCTGTCAGTCATTTGCCTCTCAGTCAGACATCAGTACAGACCATGTTTGCTTTTATACAAGAGCGATTCCATTTATTATGAGGGGGAAAGGATTAACTGCAAGAATACAGTATCCATTTTTATACAGAAAGCTATTTGGGTTCATGCCAGACGTTCTGCAAAAAACCAAAAACCCCTCCCCCAGACATCTGGGCAGGATCCTCCAATATTAGACATCTACCATAAGGGGGAATTTTTCAGTTTTTATATAGCTGAAATTACAGTGGGACAGCAAAGCCATCTTAGTAGCCACTTCCAGCCTCAAACATTGTCATTTCCAGACTCAGGTCAGCGAAACAACATTTCGTATCTTCTGCTCACTAACTATTAAAAGGGCAACACCATGCAGAGACGATGGCTTCTATTTTGGAAATGGATGACTGAACAGATTCTGGAGTATCACTGAGACTGCTGAAATTAGTCTTGAACAACAGCCACTGACACAATCAGAGAGCCATTTTTTCCTGTGGCTGTGCAAACAGTAAGATGCTGTGCAAACATTTCTCAGATGCTGTTTTTAACTGGCTCCAGATTCATTGTTTCCTGCATATGCTGTGGTAGCTAACTTTCAGGTATTCCACTCGACCGCAGCATGCTATAGTGGCACCATGCAGTGCATTGACATCTCTTTAAGACATAGCCGCAGTGATGTTAACTCCATTTGGAGGTAAAGCTACCCAAGGTTTATAAAATACTGGATGTAACTTAAATTCAACTATAGCTTAGGATTCAACCTCACTTGAGTGATATATTACAACAGAAGCCACAGACTGCCTTGTTAGAAGTAGTACAAAATACTTCAGAATAATGAAATAAAAGGACAAATCTACTTGTCTAAAAGGCAATTCACTGTACACATTTTATTTACAGTTTTGTACACTGTCTTAATATGAATGGGACTGCTTTTCTATTTGAGCCGCTCTTAAACCAAAGCAAAATATAACCTAAGGAATACAAAGTGTTAAAGTACAGCATAAGATACAAAAAACAAGAATATTATTTCTAGTAAGGAATGTAATTATGGTGTTACATTTTAAAAAATCCACAATTATGTTCAGGAAATCACACAAACATATCACTGATTTGACTGAAATGCATGAAATTTGTAGCAAAGCTTTTGATGTTACAAAAATAATTACCAAAGAATGCACAAAATTAATGTTTATTAAACCTTTGTCATATTCCCAGATCCTTCACCAATGTTACATGAGCAAGAACTGAAATCAGAATATCACTAATGTTATCAAAGAGGGAAACAAATAAATTAAATCTAGCAGCCATCAGCATCAGTTACAGCAATGACCATGCTGTATGAAGAAAGATTTGCTAGAAAAATGTATGCATCATACTTTTCTTTCAAACCAGCAAAACACGTTATTGCATATAATGCAAAGGTGAAAAAAGTAGTCGGTTTCCCCCCCTGTAGAAATGGCACTGTTTTCGGGATACTTTTTCACAATAGTTACTTTTTTAAGAAGCATCACAGAGTGGGCAAGGGAAGCCTTTATGGATTCAGGGGCAATGTGTACTGAAATTCTTTGATTGGATAAAGGTTACTTCAGCCAAAAATGGAGGAAAAAAAATGAACACAGAAGTACAAGACAAAAGCAAATGAGACTTTTCACAAATTCAGCAACATTTAGATGGAAATCAGATTTAAATGCAGTCCACTCTGCTTTTATAGAGGCTTTGGTTCAGCTCCCAAATCTCGATTGCTTGACGCAGTCTCCTATGAAATACTCAGAAGGTGTCTTCTTAAACAACAAACCTATTTTTAGTGGTGGAGCCGCTCTTAGTAGCTGTGTCAGCATGGGACTGATAACCAATCACTATCTTTGGAGGAAGTCCTAACCTTTCCTTGTATACTCTCCTAAGAAAGAAAAACATGAAAACATGACATTAAGGAGGAAGAATACAGCCACACTGTTCTCAGCCTCACCATTTATATATAAAGTATGAAATTAGGCTCATCTATCAACTTTTTCATCTGCTGGTTGAAATGACAATTATATAAACCTCTCCAGATGGGAACAAAAAAATCAAGGCAGAATCAACATGCAAAATCCTACAATGCACAGGGTTTGGTTTTTTTAAAGAGAGCAGATTTTCACTTTTTGCATTTCAGTTTAAGAATGATCATGACAGCACAGCCATTCACATGATAACTGCAGTTATCAGTTTCCAAACCTAATAGCATTACAGCACTACAGAATCACAGGGAGTTACTGTCTTTTCTCCGAGTTATTTCCTCGCTTTCATGTGTGGGCCATCACAAACCGAATGTCCCTTGAAAGATTACCTCCACCCAGATCAACTTGTCAAAGTTTCAAGACCAGTGGGTGATTCTTTCATGCAGAATCCAACCTTAATCTGAAATGGGACTAACGGGGACCCATAGAAAGCCTTCTTTTGATGGCTATCCCCCCTGCTCTATTTCCTTCTTCAGGTGGTGAGATTGCCACTGCCCCTTCAGGCTTTCAGAGCAAGTCGAAGACACTTATGTTCTGCAAGGCCCCTGAACTCAACTGAGCAAGGGGACAATGCTTACAGTTCCTCTGCCTGCCTTGACTGTGTTTTTCATATTGAACTGCCACTTAATCAGTTTTGATTTTATGGTTCCGACATTCTGATTTGTTGACTGTCTGGGCCTCTGAATAGCTGAAAGGTGGCATATAAATACAGGATAAACCATGTCATGCCATAATCACTGCAGTTAATTTAAAAGCGACTTTCATAAGAATAAAGACTTGATGTTTTCATTTAAGTAGATTTCTGGAAGTAGCACCAGTGAAAAGTGTGCTGCTTGCCCAAAGACGACTGAAATGAAAAATATTGCTATTGCAATGTGAAGCATAAGTTCTTAATGTACTACTACAAAGGTCTGGTACAGTTACATACTAACCAAGAGGGAATAGTATTTTCAGTTCCCCCAGGGACATTTAAAATAGCACTCTATTCTGACACTGAATAAATCTGTACATACAACCCCAGAGTGGTGCCAAGTGGAGAAAAGGCAGATATTTCTATTAACCCTAGGGAACCTGGAGGTCCAGAAAAAAATTAAAAGGCTTTCCCCGCCCAGAGAATTCAATTCAAAATGCTGAAAAATCCTGCGAGTTGCCCCAAATATGCTTTCTATTCTAAAGCCCCACCCCATCACCCCACTGGTCATAGCAAGGGAAGATTGGAGAGAAGGAACGCAGCATGTGCATTCTGGTACAAACCCAGCCCCTTCCATTACTGGGTGTGTGTGTGTGCCCTATCACAGCAGGGGTCATAGGAATCAGCAGGGGAAGGACCCAATGGGATGTCTCCTCCCCGAGTCCCCACTGGTTCCCTGCTTGTTTTAGCCAATTCCAGTCTACCTTAGAACCTTGCATAAAGTGTTATATTTGACCAGGCACTACACTACACTACACCAATATTCCATTTGAGCACAATCATAATCAGCTTTAACTTCTAGGACTAACTCCTGCTTAGTCCGGTTTTTCCCTGTACTAGTAATACTAATGTATACTCAGAGAAGAATAGTCTGCTACGTGTACTTTCTTGCAGTCGCATGGTTTTCCTTTCACAGTTCAATGTTTCACAGCAATTACAAAAATGTAAAGGAAAATACAGGAATATGTAATTTGAAATACAAGTATCTAATGATACAAGTGGATTCTATCTCCTTTCACAAAATCAGAGCCATTTTCCCTGCATGAAACTCTCCTGCCGTGCAACTGATATATTTCAAAGGTCTAGGGTTGGATCCAGGCTAACATTTTCCCCAGGATTTCCACTCATGAGGTACGTATTCCCTTCCTCCACCCTCCCATGACAGCACAAAATCCCCCCCTTTGTTTTTTGGGGTCCAAGTCTCTTCCATGAACAGGATCTCAGGGGGAATTTCAGGCTGCCATGTTGGGGAGGGGATGAAAATGTGCTTTGTAAGTGAAAATCCTTGCAGTTTATGCAGTTCATTTTTAGGTAAAGTATAGTCTCTAATATTCTGCAACTGTCCAGAAACACACAATACTAAACTAACATATCTGCTTTGCATGCAGAAGATCCCAGGTTCAATCCCTGGCATCTCCAGTTGAAAGGACTAGGTAGTAGGTGATGTGAAAGACCTCTGCCTGAGACCTTGGAGAATCACTGCCAGTCTGAGTAGACAATACTGACCTTGATGGACCAATGGTTTGATTCAGTATAAGGCAGCTTCATGTGTACCATTTTTGCATTAGCAGTTTCAGCTCAAATGTGCCCAAGAAAGTGTGTGAATTATTGTCCTTCAGTGTTAGACTAATTCTTCTGTTGGAACTTTTCTTTTAAACAAAGCTGTAGAAAGGCCCTGTCCTACCAAAGCTTGCATAAGAATTGGCAGTCACAAAAGGTCAATAAATAATGATTTTCACCCTCAGAAGATACATATCTGATGAGACTTGTCAACCAAAGACTGGAATGCAGACACACCTTCCATGATCAACCAATGTAATAAACCTACTATATATGACAGAGGATTTTTATCATGACAACCACTTGGATGTTATGCAACATTTATTTATACATCTTAAGCCACCTTCTCTCCCTGAAGACTCAAAACCTAGCTTATAAAAAAGATCCAGACTACAAAATCACTTTAAACAGAGAAAATATAACTTACCCTATATGTGTAACAGCATCCCTGTTTTCACATTCAGTAGTCCATATTGCTATTTTATCACCCTTGGCTCTAACATTAACAACAGCTCCACATACATCATCACTGTAGTCATCAAAGGACTCTCCAATAAGGCACAGCAGCTGTAGAAGTAAAGAGAGCATTAGAGAAACAAGCAGTCCAAAGGGCACTTTTAAAAAGGGTATGAATGCCCTGACCAACTAGGAACCAAGAGCAATTGGAAGAACAAGTGAATGATGCAGGATATTGAGGCACTCATAGCAACAAAACTCATGACTCCGGCTTCTATGTAATCTGTCACTTGTGCGGGAGTTGAGCTATCAAGTTGTCACTGGCATGGAGGAGGTGATGGGGTATACCACTCCTCCACCACACAAGCATCCCAAATAACATAACAACTAGAGCATAACAACTAGAGCAATGCAAATTCTAAAACCCTGATTCCAGGCATAAATTAGGATAATCTTCATAACTTGTAAATGACTTTTTATTAAAAACTGCTTCAAGAAGTCAGCTCTTGTTAAACAAAGCCTCACTGTGGGTGGATCAAGCTCACAGGTAAGAAAGCAAACCATTCCAAGTCTTGTAACAGTCAATCTTAATTATGCAAAATGTCAACAAAACATTGTTGCTAAAGGTGCTCTTAGCCATTCTCACCCATCTAACTAGGAGCAAAACAGGGTCCCAGAAGAACTCCACAGCGCTTTACCTGATCAGATGTACAGACTGACAACCCCCCCAAGCATTACCCATCAGCATTCTCCTCATCTGTATTCAGTTCCAGCATGTTTAACTCTTTCATTCAGCCACAGCCTCCAAACACTGATTTAGGAAGGAGACAGTTGCTGCTGAATGCTTAATTAACAAAATATAGAGCTGAATACTGGGGTATGATACACAATTCCAATTTCCAAATGATTGCTCCAACAGCTGACCTCCCAACTACCTAAATCAAAGTTAGTTATCAAAACTGTATGGTCAACAGGAAAGGGTTCCCTCAGCTTGCTCATAGTAGCAGTTATTGATCAGACTCACTAAGGCCGTCTCACTGCAATGACCAGGTTGGAAGGCCAACCAAAATGGCTGGAAGGATATCATACCCAGATATACCAGCAGTTCTTCTGCCACCACAGTCAGTTACTTCCCTTAGAAAGAGAAGATTTGAGAACAGATTAAAGTTAGCTAAATAATCTTTGCCTAAAAACAGTTTCTTCAAGCAACAGTCTGATCACCACCTCATTTAACAAAAGAGCTTTCCTTCCACAGTAAGATGCTTATAAATAGCCTGGATCCAACTATTAGCAAAAAGGTGCTAGCAAGTACAGATTAACCTTGTGTTCCCCTCCTCACAGTGGACCCTGTCAACTTCCAGTGAGATAATACTCGAAGTAGTGGGATCCACATGCACAAAAAGCTACATGGGTCAGGCGGCTGCAATGAGGAGCGGAGAAGCAAGTCAAATTGTCCCCTCCATCTTCCACTGGTAGCAGATGAACTTGATGGAGATGGCAATTTGCTGTGCAGGCTGCTGTTCACATGGGTCCAGAAATAATTTTTCTAGCAGCTAAAAACTGTGAGTGGGAGCGAATGTGGGAAAAATCTGTGTGCCTTCTGCTGATGACTGGTTAGATCCAACCCTCTATCAACCACTGGGCCTCAACCAGCCAAGACAGGCAAGGATCTGAACAGTGTGTGGTTGCTTTCGCTGTTCACAGGCATGCTGTTGACATTCTCAGGAGAAATAAGGCTAAAGCATTCCAAGCAAATGTGACTAGCAATGGCTTCCCACACCCCACTCTACACTCTTGCAGCTGTCAAAACCACTTCAGACTGGATGCGAGTGACTTTACTAGACAAATATTAAAATTGCTATAGCAAGCTGTAGGTGCCTTGCCCTCTGCTGGATCCTCCCTTGGATACACAAACATTTTCAGCACTAAGAATACTGTAGCTACATGCAATTCTGCTGATGCATTAGTAGCACAGAAGAATGATTTCTCTGCCACCATCACCACTGCCGCATATGCCTGTGGCATATTTTTTTTACCAGATCCACCTCCGCTGTAATCGTCTTTACCCATTTCATAATTCCCAGCTCTTCGGTGTCAAGGACTTATTCAAGTCAGGAGGGGACAACCTTACTACCCTAGTCAACACCTCCCCTCACCATGCTCCAATCAAATTTAATCAGCAACTGCTGGACCCTTCGACTTTTAGGAATCTAGTATGAGACAACAACCAATACCATAAAACTTACTGTCTCTAGCCAGAAGCGATCGAGGTCACTTCGCCTCTGCTGTTTGTTTAATGTAATTAGCCATCGTCCTCCTCGTTTATTCTTCTCATCTTCCCACATGGGCTCAATACCATCCTAAAAATGTAGTTTCAATATCAAACATATCAAAAACATCAAACAAAAACATTACCAAACAAACAAAATCAATCTCACACGTAACCCAAATAACACTCTGTTTTACAAATGCTATTTTGCATCCACCTCATGATATTACGACATTACTCACATGTACCATGGACTGCTTTCTTCCAAATAAAAACACACAAAGGAATTATGGAAAAACCTTTCCCAATGCCAGAGAATTCTGGGGGACTAACTACAGCATCTGTTTATGTATTTCATGGATAGTACTACCACAAAGAACAGACAGTGTGGCAACACATCATGCAAACTTAAGAGGACTAGCAACACCCTGTACTCGAGCGGCCAGTGAGTCTCTCACGTTTGACCTCTACTTTTATCAATTTCAGGTCCAGTCCAGGCTATAATTTTTTACTCGTTACACCTGTGCAGTAATTCTGCAGCATGATGTTCGTCTTGGTGAAGGCAGAATTCTGAGGACTCAAACTAGAGATGTTTTCAGACGGGAGAGTATAAAAACAAAGCTCTTTTCTTATGAACTAACAGACTATACCTGACCAAAATACAGTTTTCTGCATACCTTAAAAAGTGAGTAGTCACAACCAGGCATTAAGTTACTAGAGAGCTGGATATGGTTGTATAATCTATTTCGGAAAAACAAACCACAATTAAGACAATGAAGTTCACAAGTATTGCTTATTACACCTATAATTAAAAGCCTGAAACATACAAAAACATGAAAAATCCAGCCAGCATCATAATTTGAGATTTTTAAAAATAACTTCTGAACAAATGCTATTCTTATTAAGCCTTTTATTCTTGTAGCATAAGGCAATCCAGTAAACATTTCCATTATCCTGTACTTAATAGCATCGTTCATAATACACCCCAACACCTGACTGCACAGCTACCAAAGCTGATTGCAAGTGGAAGCTGAGATTGTACTACAAATCTAGTTTCTTAATCAACTACTTTCAGTGACAAGTTTCACCCCCCCAGGCCTTTTTAAAAATAAGAATTTCAAATCCCCATTCTGCTAAGAAGCTCCTTTGGTAACCTTCGGTGTTACTATTATCGAGCCTGAACTACCTCACTGGGTTGTTGTGAAAATCAAATGGAGAGTTGGGGGACCAAGTGCACTGTGCAGAGCTCCCTGGACGAGGAGGAGCAAGATAAAAATCTAAATGATGAATGTAAAAGGTCTACTATATGAATTAGTAAGATTAGCTCTGAAAACTTGACTTACGCCCAAAAATCTTCCACAGTATCAAATTTTGAGATCAGACGAAGATTTGCTTGCCAGGTTTTACTTTTGTCATTTTTAAAGAACCAGAGCGCCCACCTGAAAATAAACGATATATTGCACACACTTGAGGAATAAAGAAAAATCCAGTCTGACCACAGTGCACAGAAGAATGGGGAGCAAAATTACACATTAAGGCAGCAGAGAACATGACAGATTTAATTTTCAGTTCACATTGCAAATCTGGGCACATTACTAAGAGCGCAATCCCCAGGCAGCTAAAGAAGGGGAAGGTTCCGTTGGCTGGTGGGAACAGCTCAATTCCTTCTAGGCTGACCTTCTTCCTGCAGGTATTTAGCCTGGGCAGTGCCTGAGGTGTGAGCCAAAGGGCTCCTAAGCCCAAGGCTTGCATCCTGGGACCTGCAGTAGGCAGTTTGGTGGACCAGTATCAGCCAAAGTTGGCCTTTTTGTCTGTTTTTGTAATTTGAACTTTTTTCTCTTTTCTGCAAGGCACTCTGGCTACATTAGGCGGGAAAAACAATCTAAAAAAATGCTTGAATACATAACTGAAGAGCTACTCCTGTCACTGAACTCAGTGGCCTTAGAGGAGAGTTCACTTCACTCAGAATCGCTCTGGAGGATGCTAACAGTAACAAGCAAAGGAAGAAAACTCCCAATTCCCAGTATTTATATATAGATATAATGACCACTTACTTAAGATACCCACATTATAAATACCATTTTACCAACATTCAATTTCCTTTTAGAAAAAGTCCAGAGAAATATAACTGAAGACTGTTTTGCGCCACTTGTTCTCAATGCCCTGATCAAGCCAGGTGCACTGAGGGAAGGAAAAGAGTCTTCTACCACATATTGCTATATGGATGAGGAATTATTTGTACACAACTAGATATGCATGTAATCTACTTATTCAATCCAGTAGCCTGGGCTGTGAGCAGAGAGGGTTTAAAAAAAAAAAACAACACACCTGCCAATCAGTTGTTTGGCAAGCTGTATTCAGATCATGCCCCACATCCCCAAACAGCTGATAAGCAAGACCTTCGCTTTTAAAACATGACTTGCTTCATTGCATCAAGACAGTACTCTGGCAGAACTTTCCAAGAAGCAGGTTCCAGTATTTCCCCACTCTTTCTGAATGCAAGTGAACAACTTATGTACAACTATACATTTTACCAGGTTAAGAATCGCACAACTGTCATAAAGGTAAAGGTAAAGGTTCCCTTGCTCGAAAGCCAGTCGAATCCGACTCTAGGGTTGCGGTGCTCATCTCCGTTTCCAAGCCGAAGAGCCAGCGCTGTCCGAAGACGTTTCCGTGGTCATGTGGCCGGCATGACTAAACACTAAGGCGCACGGAACGCTGTTACCTTCCCACCGAAGTGGTACCTATTTATCTACTTGCAATTTCTTGCTTTCGAACTGCTAGGTTGGCAGGAGCTGGAACTAGAGACAGGAGCTCACCCTGTCTTGCGGCACCCGGGTCTTGAACCGCTGAACTACTGACCTTCCACAGCCTGCAGTGCAGTGTCTTAACCACTTGAGCCACTGCAGCTCCAACTGTCATAGCCACTTTTAATATCAATACAATTATTTCATCTATATTCCCTGCATTGTTCTCACTTTAAAAACCCTTGAAAACTCAGTGCAACTTCTTTATACCCACAAAACAGATGAGCTACCCAAATAGTAGGATAACCAAAACTGACAGGACAAAGTTTGAGTCCAGTGGCACCTTTAAGACCAATAAAGTTTTATTCAAGGTAGGAGCTTTCGTGTGCATGCACACTTCCTCAGATATGTGTGTGCACAGGAAAGCTCATACCTTAAATAAAACTTTGTTGGTCTTAAAGGTGCCACTGGACTCAAACTTTGTTCTTCTGCTTCAGACCAACACGGCTACCCACCTGGATTAACCAGAATTGATGCTTACTTAAGGGCACAGTGATCTGAGACTACCTGGGATATATGTTTAATTTAGAAATTAAATGAGATTTGATGGAGATAAGTTGTTTTGACAATGAGAACCTTCCACTCCAAATCAGCAGTGGGATTTCAAGTTGCAGTACCACTTACAAACTCTTTAAAAAATTCAGTAGACTTCAACAGTGAAGAAATTTTGGCACAAAAAAGGATGAAAGTGATATTGGCAGGCTGTACCTTGAACTAAAACAGCACTGCAGAGATACTACTAGCAGCTTATTTCCTAAAAAAAATAGTGCAGGCAGAAAGATGTTTAGTCCAGTGTGATAAACTGTGGTGCCACTTTCGTACATTTACTTAAAAGCTTTGCTATGAGATAATTATAAATTAATGCAGCTAAAATTGTAAAAAATGTTTCATTCTCAAGAGATATACATTTTACACTATCAAGATATTTTATTTTCCGTGGAAGGCTCAGCCTCTACATCCTATTGTTGGCCATCCAGAGGTACTGGTTGGCCACTCTGTTAGACAAGATGCTAGACTAGATGGACCATAGGTCTGATCCAGCGGGGCTTTTCATATGTTCGAAGAAGCTGTGTACAAGACTGCCAGAACGGTATTTTGTGGGTTCACATATAAGTGATACAATGTTGACAAGCAGCTTAGTATCACATTCCAAATGCTGGGTGGACAGGACGACAGGAGAGAACTAATACCTCATGTTCCCCTTGTAGGCTTTCTGAAAGTGTTTGGCTATCCACTCTTGAAAACAGAGCACTGGATTAGCTGGACTTTTTGGCTGATCAGCCAGGTTTTTATGTAAACCCTATCTGGTTTGAAGTAAGACAAATGCAAATAGATAACTTCTGACCATTTTCTTAATCACTGAAGTATAGTTTAAATTCTTTAACGATGTCCTAACTTCATGCAGAACTTTACCTCACTGTCCAAAATTTAACTCAAGGCCACACATACTTGTTCCCAAACCAGAAACAGCAGTGATACTACTAAATGCAGCCATAAGAATTTTATGGTTCATCAAGAAAAGGAAGAATCCAAGATCCACTGAAACCTTTCAGGAAAGGCAGAGCATACTAGGCACTGTATGATGCAGAATGGCTGTTAGTCAGCACAGAATGCTAGTGGAACAAATTCCACCTGTTTGAAAAAGAACTGCATCCTGCGACAATGTAACTATTCAAAATGCCAACCTAATGATACCATATCTGCATTAGAATGAAAGAAGATAACAAATGAAGATGCAATGCAAGTCAGTTCTCACCTACAAAATGAGTATGCTTTACAATGTGGTCTGGCTAGGCAGAAGAAGAATCTCAGTGTTTCAGATCCAAAGATTACTATGTCTGATTCACCTGAAATTACACCAACCCCTGTGTGTAATGCCTATTTCTAAATTACTTTAACAGACTAACTAATCTGACTGTGGCTGTGAAACACTTTTATTCTTCGTTTCAGCATTTACTTTGGGGAATCATTTTCACACAAAAACTGTAACACATACTTCCATTCTGAACAATTTACTAATTTAGCACAACCCTCTTGTGACATACTATTATAGTGGTCAAAAGAAGCACGCCTCACCTGTTTTGTAATGGATGCTTGATGTATGGTTCAGGGCTGACTACCTCCTGACTTGCTGGTGTCTCAGTTTTTTCTTCTTCTGAAGTCTGAGGGTTAGAAGTGGTTTCCTATACAAACAAAGGAAGTATTTAACTTGCAGCTTTACAACCCTGACATAGTGCAGTAAACACATTTTGTTTAGCAAGGTTTGGTGTCAAGATACAAAATCATAAATACTTATGGCTCTTAATAGCAAGGAAATATCAATATTACTAGTATTCCTGTAGCATTCAGCATTAGAATGGCTCCATGTGAACTGCAAGAGAGGTTGCTTAGATTATTGGAGGACTGTGCAGATGAGAGATCTCCTGAGCAAGGGATCTCTTGCCTTCTATGTGTCACAGAATATGTATCAATCCAGCAAAACATCTCTCCCCCAAAAGAAACACTTCTCAAGGGTGAAAGGACAAGATGTATTGCAACAGGTCTAATGCACAACTAGGTTTGTCATCAACATCCAAACAGAAACAAAGCTGGAAACAAAAGCTGTGTTTCTTTCAAATTAAAATACACCTTGATATGATTAATTCTGCCATTTCACAGGCCTTGCCAGGAATCAAGATGAGAATCCTATGAACATTCTTCTAGCATAAGTGGATCTTTCCCCAGCACCCCCTGTGTAACCTGAAGTGGCACTGCCAAGTGTTGGCAGATTTTTGCATACAAGAACCCATGCAGGTTGAGGAACTGAATGACTAGGCTTATCAGGCAAGACCTTCTTCCCATTTCTTCAACAGAGTATCATAAGATGCAACTCATGAATTCCAATACTGAAATACAAAGTCACCACTAGTTTATAATTAAGCTTTAGGGCAAGTTAATTCTTTCTATGCTGTTCCAGTGCATATGGTATGAGACTGTGCAAAGCCACTCATTACAGATTTCAGTAAGATCCTATACACTCCCAAGGAACAAGAGAACAGCTACCTTACTTTTCTATCATTCCACCAAGTGCTTTGGGGGAAAATAAAACACAGCACCATCCCAGCCCCAAAGAGACAGCTGCACGTCTAGGTCAAAAATTTTAAGTTATAAGATGTTTTAAGATAAACAAACCTAATAATGAAAACCTACTTTTAGCTTTCCACAATAGGTTACCTCACAATTCAGCACTATTAGTTAAGCATCAGTCTTCTAAAAGATAATTCAAAAATGCTAAGCAGAAAGTAAATATGAAATGACCAAAGGGACTGATGACACATGGAACTTTCAGTTTTATCACCTACATACTTTGTTATAATGAACAGCTCTGACCTGCCCATCATATTGTTCCTTAAGAACTTCTTTGAACAATCCACATCAGAAACTCATCAGCCACGCAACTTGGCATCACTCAGATGCCAATGTAGCAACTAGTGCTGAAAATAGAGTTGACACACAATAGTTGAACATCAAGAAACTGAAGTCAACACGTCATACCTACCCCTGTTGTATGGCAAGGAAACTTCCAGAACAAACTGCTAAAAAACAACTTTAACTCACTGAACTTAAAAATGTATACTGGTATTAAGTACCTGAAGGGGGAAAGTTACTTTTAAAATAACCACTGTCATCTGAAGTTGGTTTATCTTAGAAGTACCGGACACATTTTCTAACCTTCTCCCAACACCTTTCAGGTGTTCAGCACATGCATATTCTAATGGATGAATCTGGTATTCAAAGTACTCTCTCAGTCTCAAGGAAACAAGTTATGTTACGCTGTATTTGATGCAAATCCTAAAAAACCTGAATACTTACCATTACACTACTTGGCCCAGAAAGATTTCCAATCATGGTGACTAACAGCCTGTAAAATCTAGTATTCTAAAACAACAAACCCCCTACATACACACCTACACTTGATTTGAAGCTGGTTAAAGTGTGAAAAAGAAGGGGCTTCTTAACACTGGGAACAGTCAGGAAAGGAGCTGTCAAAACAGACAGAGCATTTAAGACTACGATTGGGAAAACCTATGCATGGTTCCATAGCTATTCTGTTCCCTAGAAACAATTTATACTACACTGAAATGTGACTGAGGGCTAAGAAAAATAATACATTTTCAAACTACATCTATATTTGAAAAGTGTGAAGCAAATAGAAAGTGGCATTTTCCTGCACAGATTCATACTGAACAGTTGTTACACTCCAACAACCCATGGTCCTTTGGTAGATATAATGAAGTGCTTCTATTCCTAGTCTGGAGTTAAAACTAGCCACTGCCTATGCTGTGTCAGAGCCAATTTACAGGACCACCTGGCATAAAGCCAAAGTTTGTTCTCATTCCACAGATTTCAACATGGTCCTGGTGGACAAAGTTGTCATAACCCTTCACTACTCCCACAAAACCTCTGGTTATGCACACCAACACTCAGCCCACGTTGGGAATGCTGGCCAGTGTCAAGGGAAATCTTGTTTTGTGGAGAATGATTCAGACGACCCTTTAGCCTGAAGAGGGGGGAAAAAAGCACAACTGTGGCTAGCGTGAAAAGCCTTTGTCTTCGCGTGAAAGCGACTGAAAGAGCCGGCTCTAAATTAGAGCCAATCGCGTGTCCTTCGCTGCCCCCGAAAAAGCCCGTGGCATCATCAAATCGGAATCTAAGGGAAGGTTCATCCTCGCCGGCTCTTCTTCCTACGGCCACCCGCTCTGACAAACACGCGAGAAGCCTGCAATTTGCGCAAGCTAACCCGGGGAACCACCTCAAGCCAAGCGACCCGGCCCGTGCCTCAGGGGCGGAGAGGGCCGAGCGAGAGCAGGCCGGGGGTGGTGGGGCACCTCCTGCGCAGCCCGGCCGAGCGGAGGGGGAGCCAAGACGGGCCGGGGCGGAGGAAGAGGAGGCGAAGCTGCCGGCGATTCCGGCCGGGCGAAGGCAGGCGCGTGCGAGCGAAGTGGGGAGGGAGGCGCCAGCGGCTGAGCGGCGAGAAGCCCTCGAGCCGATCCGGCCTGTCGGAGCGCAGGCCGGCACAATGGAGACTGTGGCAGGGGAAGAAGTCCTGCCCTCTCCCCCCACCCGGGCTTATTCGGGCGCTCCTTCTCTCCCACCCACCCAGGTCCTCTTCCCGCGATCCCCCTTCCCCGCTTCGTCCCGCGATCCCCCTTCCCTGCCGCCCCTGCCGCCCGCGGCCCCCCGCTCAGGCGGTGACGGCACAATCGCCGGCCGGCCGCTCGCCCTCTCCCCGCTCGGAACCCGCCCGGATGCCCCGCCCTGCCTGCCTGCCTTCCCCTCAGTCGCCCCTCCGCGGCACACGCCCGGCGCCTTTCGCTCTCCGTACACGCGCGCCACACAGCCACATTCCCAGGCCGCCGCCGCCGCCCCCCTCCTTTCCAACCACCACTTGCCAAGGCCGTCTCTCTCTCCCCCCCTCTGGGGATTTTTCTCCTGCCCACGCCCCGTTTCCCTCAGGGGCATCGAGCCTCCCCGCTCTTCTTGCCGCCCCCCGCCCCATCTCGGCGGCAGGCGAAATGGAGGAAAAAGGGGAGCGGGAATGAGGACACTCACCGGTTCCACCGTCGCCATCTTAGATCGCTCTGATCGCACAAGTGCGGAGGGGGAGGGGAGAGGTAAAAAAGCAGAGGGCGGGTAACAAATCAGGTTCGAAAGCGATTGGCCGGCAGGGCGTCACGCGGAGGCGGCGGCCGTTTTGGCGGCTTGGCGCGTGCGCCGGACCGGGAGAGGAGGGAGTCGGCGGCCGAGGGAAGGGAAGGGGGGAGCAGAAGCTTCTGGGAATCGTAGTCTTCGGTAATCTACTCCCTCCCCTGAAGAGGAGAGACAGTCACGTGGGGAAAGCCGACGGGGCCATGTCAGGCTGTGCGGACGTTGTTGCTCAGAACGGAAAGTGACCCCTGGAGTCCAAATACTGCCACTGCAAAGGCAGCCTCCGGGTGGGACCTGTCCGCATCCCACCGCTGACGCCCCGCCCTGGCTGCACGGCTGCTGACCCCTTCTCTGTCATGGGGGTGTCAGCATGTGTGATGCAAGCTCCTCCTCATCCCTCAGGTCACCGCCATTCACACCCAAAATCTGACGGGGGGAGAGAGGGGTAACTGGCAAGTAAGTCAGTACGTCGGTCTGATTGCTCACAATGTATTAGATGTATGGTACCAGATAGACGCTGGCGATCGAAGTCAGCTTTCTAAGCAGACATTCACTGAAATACCACGGTCATTCTTCTTCTTGAAATACCACCCTTTTCCTACACTGCATGTCATACCATCTCTATGACTCGGTTGCCAGCCAACCAGACTTTCATTGGCCCCATCCTAAAAAGAGTTATCTCTTCTAAATCTGTTGAAGTCAATGGTCTTAGATGGGTGTAACTCTTTTTAGGATGGCACTAACTTTTCATTCTCCTGGTTACTAGGGTAGAATAGAAACCCAAAATGGGGAAGGGAATTCCAGTCAGTACATTTTAATGGCTGTTTCTCTCACAATAAGATGTAAGAGAACAAGATGTTTTCCCCATTGGCTCCAAATTCAGCTTCCAGAGAAGAACATTTCCATTGGCAAAATAGGGGAAACAGTCCCTCTCCCTGCCTCCAATTTTCTCCCTTGAATCACAACCTAGCTGTATTATATAAAATGGTGGTAGAACCTGCTGTCAAGTTGCATGACTTATGGCAACCCTGTAGGGTTTTCAAGCTGAGACAAACAAAGGTGATTTGTCATTGCCTGCCTCTGTGTAGCAACCTTGGACTTCGCTGGTGGTCTCCCATTCAAGTACTCACCAGAGCCAACCCTGATTAGCTTCCAAGAGCTGGTTAGCCTGGGCCATCCAGGTCAGGGCATTATATAAAATATCAGTCAATACAAATATCACAAAACTAGATGCAATGTGTAGTTGCATGAGAAAGAGATAATGGAATTGATTCGTTGTAGATTTTTCCGGGCTGTATGGCCGTGGTCTTGGCACTGTAGGACCTGAGGTTTTGCCAGCCTTCGACAACAAATGGAATTGATTTATTCTCTTTTGGATGGAGGAACATTTTTTGTGCATGTTTCATTGCTGGCAAGTATACCAGGTATCTCAGAATGTGGCTCAAATCTGAATCCAAATCAACTAGCTTTGCAATGCATGGGGGGCGGGGAACAAGCATACAAATATAATCATCCTTAACCTATGTTCTCACAAGTTCTTGGTTTTGCATCTGTGCATCTTCCAATTGTCAATACCTGAAACAATTTTTGTGCACATCCTGGAAACCTGTGGATGGATAAACAGGGATCTGCCATTTCTAAGAGCCCAGGTATATCCATTTTTCCTGCAGTTTCTTTGTGCTGGCCAGGCTGCATCCGCACCACCATTTCCTACTTATACAGCAGATTCTCATTTACTGAAGAAGTCATCATCAGAATTTCAGCATTTATGAAAGAAATAATAGAAGCATTACAATACATATATGACATCGCTTGAAGGGTCTGGTTTCTTGAGTTCTGCTTTCTTGACACAGCCATATGTTGATAGCCCATCTGTCAAGCCTTTCACAAATAACAGCTGTATTACATTCCAGACCTTATTCCAGACCTCTGGCAGACGTGCCGAAAAGTCTTCTTTGGTAGGGAGTACAGAAGTGGAGTGTTTTTTTTTTTTTTTAAAGTACTTTTCACCCAACATCATGATTGAATCATCCTGTTTCCAGGTTTTCCCCTGAGTATGTTTTCCAAATCTGCCTTATTCCAACCTTTTTAGAAAGAACATAGTTCAAGCACATTAGCATGCCATCTGGAAGGAATGGTGCACATTTTCCTGCTCTGAAAAGGTCCTGCCCACATTGTCATCATTTTCCCACTGAGAGCCCCATGTGGGTGCCATTTTTCCAACATTTGTTTTTCCTGCTGCACCACTGAAGGGGCTTTTGGAGAGCCTTTAAAACTTCCACTTGAGGATGCCTCAATCACCAAAGCACATACCTCTGCATGGTGATGAAAGCAACACAGAGAATCCTCACTACATGAAGGAGCAAGCCAAAGCAGGTCTACACAGTAGTAAGCCCTAGTTTATTCAATGAGGCTTACCCCTGGGAAAGTGTTCAAAAGACTGCCACCTTTCTCTCCAAGGTGACTACCTCTGGCTGAACATTAGCCATTTTAAATCCTCAAGTGACTTATGGGTAGGAATAGAAGAAGTAACACTTTTATTAATTAAATATTTATAGCCTCTCTTTCTTCAAGGACGCAAGGTGCCTGGCAGTAATATTCTTTTGGGTATTTAGGTGTATATATATCAACAATATAACTCACTGAAGAAATAAATAATAAAACTCCAGTGGCACCTTAAAGACTAATAACATTTATTTCCATATGAGGTTACAGAAAAGGCAATATTAAATAAAGCATTCACACTGTTAGTCTGCAGGCCTGCCTCTTCCCCCTATGCTCTGCCATGATATTTTGCTCACCTGAGCAGGTGCCACCCTGCAAAAGGGCAACATCAACAACTGCCTGTACAACTTGCTTTCTCTGTTGTGGCCCCCACCTTATGGAATGGCCTGCCTGGTAAGGTCAGGGAGGCTCCCACCCACCCGGCATTCTGTAAACTATGCAGAAGAGATTCTGGAAGGCATTTTTACACAGGTAATAGGGCCACACTACAACAGAATGGTTCATAAAGATGCTTTCATAAGGGGAAGGGAGTTATAGATTATACTACTGTGCACAGTCCATACTACCTGTTGCTGTATTATTATCCTACCATGTAATTTCTGTGTTGTTTAACATGCAATGTTAATACTTACGTTTGGTTTCACATTTCTGCAATGGATGTCCCATCCTGTTGATTGTATTTACTTGAGTCTCAGTGAGAAAGGTGGACTATAAATAACATAAATAAAAATAAATAACATACTAACACATTTATTCAGGCACTAGGAGTAAGGCTCGTTGTGGGAAGAAATACAACAAGCTCTAGAAGGAAGCTCTAGGTGAGTGTCCCGGCTGTGGCTGGTGGGGTGGCAGAGGGAAGGGGAAAATAGTGGGAGGCAAGCCATGTTTATTTCCTTCTGCTTAGCTATAAGGCAGGGCTGTCTCAAGTCATTTTGCTGCCCCAAGTAAGTAATATGGAAGGACAGCCTCATGGTAACAGGTATGGTTCCCTCCACCCCTGACTTATGTTGATTTGGGGTTATGCAGCTA